TCGAGAGCCATCTTCTTGCGGCCAATTTGCATGATCTTTTCCTCTGCTGAATTCTTGGTCATGAGTTGAAAGCACAACACCTTATGCTTCTGACCAATGCGATGAGCACGCGAAATAGCCTGGATGTCTTGATGGGGGTTGAAATCAGGATCCAAGATGATGACAGTGTCAGCAGTTGCGAGATTGATACCCACGCCTCCAGCTCTTGTGGAGAGAAGGAATGCAAAGACCGGAGAGTTAGGTTCGTTGTAGTCATCGATAAATTTCTGCTTTTCCCGACTGCTGAGACTGCCGTCAAGTCGTCGGTATTGGAAGCCGAGACCGTTCAGGAAATCTTCAATGATGTCCAATTGGTTCAAGAACTGGCTGAAGATGAGAACCCTGTGTCCTCTTTCTTTCAGCTTCGGCAACATGATGTTGAGAAGCATCAGCTTCCCTGACGCCGACACTAGATTCTCGTGTAGCTGGACTTGGTCGACTGTTCGCTCTTCGACTGCTTCGCTGTACATGAACGGATGACAGAGACATTTCCGTAGCTGCATGAGAATGTTGTTCAGACTGCCACGGTCTTTCTTGTTGACCTTGTCGTCTGCGAAGATTGCCTTGATCAGATCGGGACTCTTGGCGATGATTGACTTGCAGAGCTTCTCTTGTAGGATCGACATAGAGACGGGAACGATGATTTGAGCCATGGGAGGTAAGAACTTGAGAACCTGAGCTTTGGTCCTCCGCAGAAAGTATTGTTTGATCCGACCGTGCAGTTCAGGGAGGTTCTGCGCATTGAGCTCCTGGAATTCTTCGTCGAGTTTCGCAGCATTCTGGGTTGGGTCGATGAATTGAAGCAAGTTGAAAAGCTCCCGCTTGTTATTCTGCAGCGGCGTGCCCGTGAGAAGGAGTCGGAAGGGGAACCGCATGGAACGCAGAGCCGTGTACAAGAGACTCTTGTCATTCTTTAATCGCTGTCCCTCGTCAACTACCAGACCGGCCCATTGAACTGAACGGAAGAGATGTTTCGTGCGATCGTCTTGCGCAGAGTCATATGACATGACAACAACGTGGGCCTTGATCTCTTGGGAGCCGCGCGGAAAGAGCTCGTATTTGTACGCCAACTCTTGCGCTTGCTTGCCACCATGGTAAGTGACTACTCGGAGGTCTGGAGCCCATTGTTTGATTTCGCGACGCCAATTTGGACAGGTTGAGTTCGGAACGACAACAAGGAAAGGGCAACACTACGAACGCCCCGTGTCAGCACAATATACAGCAGCCTCCTCATGAGCAGCACAAACATACCTTTGGGTCGCCGTGGACCAGGGTCGAGATCAAGCCGACGACCTGTACCGTTTTGCCCAGTCCCATCTCATCGGCAAGAATGGCGTTCTTTTCGCTGTGATAGTTCCATAGCATCCAGTTGACGCCCTCAATTTGGTATTCCATAAGCTTGCCGCGGCGCAGACCAGGGGGCTGCTGGGCCAACTTGACGAATTCCTTGTCCTTCCACTTGTTGACGCGCTCTTTCATTTTGGCATTCGTGGAGCTGGTGAAGTACTTGCCAGTGAGGTATTCGTAGTATGCGGCTTTGAATGCTGTGTAAACCTCGCCGGCATCTGACTTTGGCGGCGAATCCCATACCGTTTCGTCGTAGCCAAGACCTTGGAATTTCACGAAGATCTTATCGACGCTCTCAATACGCTCCATCTCATCTTCCAGCGTCCTTGCTTTTTCTCCTTTCACCTTGGCCTCAAAGATGACATCGGCCATGAGGGCATCTTGGGGGATTGCCTCGGCTTCGGTAAATCTCAGGGCCAAGTTCTGATCCGCATCCTTTTTCGCAAAGGAGTTGCGCATCACACCCGCGGCAATGTGAAAGAGCCATGCACCAGGCATCCAGCTGCAATGGAAGTACGACTTGTCCTGCCACTTGATGAGATACTCTTTCTCATCCTCATTCAAATCGCTATAGGTCTTCCCCTCTTCGAGTGAGGCTTTACCCAGGGGCCGCCAGGCAACTAAGGTCTGTATCTTGTCGGATACCGTGCCGCAGTCGACACACTTCCAGTCGACAGAGTATTCAGCAAGTCGCTGCTGGCGAATGTCAGACACGTCTGAATCCGTTTGTGACGATGGCAAATGCTCAAAATGCCATCCACGCTTGCACATGATACAGCGGAATAAGAGGTTCTCGGCGTTGTTGACCAATGATGGAGCCACTGCCGTGACAGGGTCTTCACCACCATTTTCAAGACGAATTTTCTCCTCTTGTCTAGGGGTTTTCTTGGGCGAAAACGCCGCACATGACCGCCCGGAACGTTTGCATTCTTGACACCGGCTATGTCTTGGGCTGTTCCTGTCCTTCTTGGCATAGATGCCAATACAGAACTTACACTGTAGAACAAAATCGTCCACGCCGACCTTGGTGACAACATGTTCTCTGGCAGATCTGTAGCCGATACAACTTTTGTGAAAAGATACGGAGCAGCCTTGACAGCCAATCAGGGGACCTTTGTTGGCGGCAGGACCAGTGTTGCACGTGGTGCAGATATCGGAGTGATATTGATTGAAGGGTGCGTCATGGTCAATTGGCTTGAAGACTTCCTTGATGTTCATGACCTTGGGAACGCTGACGGGTGCTGTATCTTCAACGTAGAATGATTCCTCATCCATCAATGCAAGATCAAGCATGCTGCCCTTGTTCCTCGTGGATCTGCCAGACCGGCGACGATCCTCAAACTCAATTGAGGAACCACGAGATCTGGGTTGCTCGATGGTTTTGGCCTTGACCCTAAGGCGGCGTGACTTCTTGCGCCTGGCCGAGGAGGACTTTGGCAAGAGGTCGGATGTGATGATCTGAAAGTCATCGTCGTCGTCGGATTGTTGGCGAGGGTGGTCCTGAGACAACTCGTCCAAATCATTGTCCCGACTTAAGGGCATGCTGGCAAAGGCCATGCTTGTCAATTTGAGCTGTTTCTGAGTCCGCTCTCTGAGTTGTCGACCTCGCGCGGGAACCTCGTCCGTGACCCCATCGTCTGAGATCACTTTTGAGTTGTGTCTCGTGCTCGGTCTTGTAGACGTACGCTGGCGTTTGGAACGGCGGAAACGAACGTCCTCGTCGGAATCGGAGTCTTCGCGCGTGCGGCGATGTGTCGAGCTTCGTAGACGTTTGAATTGACGGGGAACTTCATCTTCGTCAAGCTCAATAGTATCGAGATTGGCATCAGATTCTGCAATTGAATCCTCCCACACGTCTTGCCAGTGGCTGGTGGCTGGAGCCATGATGCCCTGATATGTTTTAAGAGCTAATTGGCCTCTTTCATACGCGAGTAATTCGTCGAAAGGTATCTTCAGCAAGTCAGCTAGGTTCTCAGAAATGCACACGCAGAGGCTGAATTAGCTGTAGATTGTCTCTTCGAGGATAAGTGGCGGTCGAGAAGGTACTATTTTTTTGGGAAGATTGGAAAGAGCAATATGAACCTGACGGGAGTTGTGAGGCGGGAAGGGGTTACTCGTTTGCTAATGCCGACCGCAATACGAGACTCTCGGGGCGAGAGTTGTCGTATGTGAAGAGTGAGGTATGCAGGAGGTTTGGAAAGAAGACTTGGGTAGGGGTTGAGATATTTATAAGGTAGATATGAGAATTTGACGATTGCTTCGCAGGCAAGAGCAACCTCAAATGAGCCGGGGTAGGAAGGAGAAGGAAACAAGGAGAGAAGGAGGCAAGGGCAAGGAGCATTCGAAGGTGGGAGTCTAAGATGGGGGGGAGAGAAAAAGCGCTGCCATATTTGCAAATAGAGGAACTTACGGTATCTTGTCGTCCGTCTGTGAACTCCACTCTGTACCACAATTCGCCTTCGACACCAGGTACCTCTTCAATAACTTCATCCACAATGTCGCTCTTTATTGAGAGGTACTGGGCGCGTTCCTCCGGTGATATGCGCGGTAGGATTATCTCGAAGTTCCACGGGCGCAATTTCGATACCGCCTCCTCTATGCCATCTTCTGGCTTGATACTTGCAAAGCCATCGACCCGTTCGCTCGTGATTGCCGTCTCGTTTTCGTGTGTATCATCAGCCTCAATGGAAGGAATGTGTTCATCCACGCCGAGGTCGGTTCTGGGCGGTGTTTTTGCGATCTCCTCAGTTGCGGGCTCGGCAGCGGCGTTGTAACTCTCTAATTGAGTCGAGACGCCATCTGCCGGCACAAATTCCGTATCTTCGTCTGCCAAGCTGTCGTCAAGCATAACCTCGTCCTCGTCCGCAACCTTTCTCTCAGCCTCGTTCTCATCGGCACGAAGATCGGTCTCGTGGGAGGGATCAAAGTCGGCAGTGTCCAGTCCAAATAGGGCATCACTCGGGGACCCCGCTAGTGACGTTATGAAATTGTCGTCAGCACCGGTTGGAAGGTCGTCCATGGCGCGACGAGTTGCGACTTGATCGCATTTATGAGGGTCTGTCGGGAGTTGGTAGGTCGGCAAGGGTTGGATCTGGAGCGTTGATGAATCTGAAGACAAAAGAAAACACCAAGAAAAACAAAAATAATGCTGCCAGTTCAATCGATTTCCATCTTTTGCTGCTCAAAGCAGACAGCCGGGGGTGGGAGTGGCGCAAGTTGTGGAAGCTGCTTGTCAAGGCCTGAAGGTGGGATTATTCGACGGTTGACGCGACGAACCTCGAAACCGCGTTGCTACCACTGCATCCATTAAACTTAGTTCCAAAGTGGGAATTGGCGTGCTGAGAGGGGATACGTACCTGTTTTCGGTGTGGAGATTCCGGGAATAAGCCCACCAGATCACCCTCTATGGCCAATGGAAGCCCCGGTCTATTCTTTGAGTGCTTCTCACCGCCCGGACCCTGGACAGCTCTGGAATGGCAGAAAAAAAGTTCCTCGAGTCGAGTCTCAGTGAAGCGCAAACCCACCAGCACATTGCTTGACAAGGTGCAGCTAAATAACAACCACATCGACATCATCATCATCATCATCCGGGCCCATCCCTTGTACACAATGCAATGAGTCTCCTTACAAGATGGAGCGCTTCACGCCCATTTGAAGCAACCCAAAGAGCCGTGCAACTTTCCGGTAACCCATTTCTCTACGGACAAGCGCGCAATGGATCGCTCTCTGCGATACATCGTGGCATTTGGCGTTCCGACAAACCACGCAACGATCGCACCGACCGCAACTCCAGGCCTGCATCCAGGCCGCGATTGACAGAATCTAAAGGCCGCAGCAGATCAAGAGATGCTGCCAAATCCAAGCCCGATGCTTTCAGCGAACGATTCTCCAGCGCCATTGGTAGCCGTCGCGATGGCCCGCGAGACCGCGAACAGCGCCATTTTAAGCCCAAGAAGGCCTTCCAGAAGATGCAAGAGAGGATAAAAGAGCAGGAAGAAGAAGGAGGAAGGAAATCCCGAAGCAAGCGATTCAACAACCCCGAGTTCTCCTTCGGCAAGAAGAGCTTGGTCTACCAACTCAACCGCGGTGAGTTGAGGGATAAGGTCGGCAAGCTGCTGGAGAAGAATGGCGCAAAAGAGGAGGAGTCCTCGAAGCCAACTGCACAGCGTGATAGTGGAAATGACTGGTTTCAAGTTGGTCGACAAGATCGTCAAGACGGCCGCCAGCGCGACCAATACCAGGATCGCCGCCCCGATCGCCAGCGTGAACAGTTTTCAGACCGCCGTCCGGACCGCCGTGACAATCAATCAGGAGCGAGACCAGGTTTTGCGCGAGAGCGTATGGATTCCATGCGGGAGGGTGCCCGCAGAGAACTCGAGGCCGCCCCTCCTCGACGGTTTGGATCAAGACAGCCGGACCATGAAGCATCTTCTGAACCATCAGAATTCCGTGGCTTGGTTCAGTACACAACAGCTGCATCGCAGTTCCTCTTCGGTCGCTCGGTCGTCAAGGCAGCACTGAAGAATTCGCAACGCAAGCTCTATCATCTCTACCTTTACCAAGGGAGCAACAAGAAGGAAAGCATGGACGATAGATGGATCTTGTCCATGGCGGAAAAGAAGAAGGTCAAGATCACCAAGCTTTACGAGAATGACCAGCAACTGCTCGATAAAATGAGCAAGGGTCGACCACACAACGGTATCGTGATGGAGACATCACCACTGCCTCAGTTGCCGATCACAGGTCTGGGCGCAGAACATAGCGAGCCCCAAGGCTACCCCGTCTTCGTAGGACGACAGTCTAAGGAAGACGTCGCGATCAACGGAACCGAGGGCTTCATTCCTTCCAGGCCCGGTACGGCTCGGCCGCTTGTGCTCCTTCTGACCGAGATTCTGGACCCCGGCAACCTCGGTGCCATTCTTCGGACAGCCCGGTTCCTCGGCGTCTCCGCGGTTGCTATTACGAAGAGAACATCATCGTCGATCACGTCTACTGTACTGAAGGCTTCGGCAGGTGCTTCTGAGGAGATGCAGTTGTTCTCCGTGGAGGATCCGGGAGCTTTTCTTCACGCGAGCGCAGCCGCAGGATGGACCTCGTATGCCGCAGTCGCACCGACAGCTGGGTTGCGTAGAGACAACCGCCAGTGGACACCGGAAAGCATTGAGGAGAAGAAGCCTCTTCTAACGCAGCCATCCATTCTCGTTCTTGGCAACGAAGGCACAGGCCTCCCGTACGATATCAGGAAGAAAGCCACCCACGAGATTACGATCCCGCGAGTGGCGATGTCAAGCTCGGTGGACAGCTTGAACGTCAGCGTAGCCACGGCCTTGCTCTGCAACTCATTCCTGAGAGGCACTGCAGAGCCTAGCAGTCTCACAGAGAGGCTGCAGAAAGAATCTCACAAGGCAGATGCAGGCGAAAGCATGTTTTAGAGTGGTCTCTCTTGTGGGAAGATGTAACACTATACACGATCATGTAACATATTGTACAAATATCTGTTAAAGTACATTTAGAATACCTAACAAGACATGGAAAGGCGATTTCGGCGAACCAAAGCCAAGCCTTCTCTTCTCTGCATAATAAAAATTCATTACGAAGATAGAGAGTAGAAAGAGACTTCGATGCGACGATGCGAGCTTGCGTACCTTATGTCGTGCTGTCTTCACGATCGCAAGCACCTCCAGGTATTGGGGTGTCCTGGTGGCCCCAAATTTCCCGTCCCGTGGACCCCTGCAAACCTTAGCAGCCGAACCCCTGACAACGTCCAGGTCCGTGGCTCTTCCGCCCCTGCCACCAAAGCTTGTCGGTAAAACGGCCTTGAATGACGTCTTTTTGGCATCTGTCCGCTAGGCCCAGCCTCCTCAAGAATCCCTAGCTCAGGTAAGGTACGTATACAGAGCTATAGCCAGCCCGCAGCCGTTGGAGACCGAGAAAATAAGCACTGATAAACAAACTGATAACAAGACAGCAAAGAAAGGGGAGAACAGTACTCGAAAAAAAAAAAAAAAAAAAAAAAAAAAAAAAAAAAAAAAAAAAAAAAAAAAAAGAACAAAAAAAAAAAAAAAAAGAAAAAAAAAAAAAAAAAAAAAAAAAAAAAAAGGAAAAAAAAAAAAAAAAAAAAAAAAAAAAAAAAAAAAAAAAAAAAAAAAAAAAGAGACTTTGCTGGGGTGATCAGATCTCGAGTTTGACGTGTACTTGCTGCGGGCCACAGACAAAAAGTTGACAGCGGTCAGATACGAGGGCGGTGAGGTGTCGCAGCCTGTGTCGAAGCCCGAGCAAGCTCCATCGTCTTGCAGCTGGGATCTGGACTCCCGTCGTGGAGCGTGAGACTGACTGCCAGCCCAAGGTGAATTGTGCATCTTTGCCCAGCCACCGATTTCCGCGGCGCCATCCACGCCTCACTAAATGCCCGACCAGACCTCTTCTTATTTTCCCTCTTTACCCTTTTCAATCTTCCACATCAATCCGAGCGAACCTGTGCAAATTGACACTCCACAGCAAATCTGTGATCGTCGTTGTCAAAAGATCTTCGGCGTCAGTGAACTACTTTAAACTGACAGGCCCGACCCAGCGCCACTTACACACAGAGCCTGGGGCCCGGTCGACGACTTTAACCCAACCTCAACACCATCATCGTCAGCTGCAGAACACATTGCGATCGATACCAAAGCCATTGCCTCGAACTCGGCACAATGCGTTCTAATTCACTTCTGGGTCTCCATTCCTCGCTCTTGCTGCTCACTGCAGCATGCATCAACGCAGAGCACCCTGCGGTCATCCGCAAAATGTCACCGAACGCTGGGGAGAAGCTCCTGCCCAATGACCTCGCCTTCACCGAGAACGACGTCTTTGGGACAATAAAAACAACTCCGCTATCGCCCCGTGAAGAGCTACTCGCCGCTCGCATGGCCGACGACAACTTTCTGTCCAACTCCTCGTTTTCATACCGACCACCTTTTGCGGAACATCATGACAGCATTACTAGCACGGGCTGGGAGAGCCTCAGGCGCGCCATTGAGGCGCTTCACATTCTCGAGGAGAGGCAGTCTTGCCCGACAACTATGAACAGCTGCGATTACATCGGAGCGGCGAACAAGTGCTGCCTGAGCAACGAAGTGTGTGTCAAGGTAGTCGATGAGCACGTTGGGAACGTCGCCTGTTGCCCCAAGGGCGCTGCTTGCAGTGGAGCCGTTGCGGCATGTCCCAGCGGTACCACGAGCTGTGATGCGGAGCTGAGTGGTGGATGTTGCATCCCGGGATATGTCTGTCAAGGCGTTGGCTGTAAGTACTCACCCACACTTTTACGCTTGGTATAAGCTGACAAGACCAAGGCGTACCAAGTCCTCCCCCGGCGACGAGTGCTTCACCAACTCGGACGGCCACAAGCACTGGCGGAGGTGGAGGAGGAGGCGGCGGCGGCAGTACCGGTGGCGGGGGTGGTGGTGGAGGAGCAGGCACGACAGTCGTCCAAACGATCACCACGACGTCCATCTCGACAACGACACTCGTTGACGGGAGAACCACGACAGTTCATGTGACAGTGATTGTGACAGTTGGTGGAGCGACCACGAGAAGAACCACGACGAGCACAACCGCTGAGGAGTCCCCAACCACGGCTCCAGAGCTTACGACGACGACAACAGGTACCGCAGTGCCTCCTTTCCGACCAACATCCACCGACTCGGACGAGCCGCCAGTCACATCCGCGTACTGCCCGACTGGATTCTACGCCTGTCTCGCTCGCGCCGGTGGAGGCTGTTGCCAGACTGGCCGCGACTGTGCCACTACTTCGTGTCCGCCAACAGAATCGACTACCATCATCAGCAACGGCGTCACCGTCGTCGTTCCCCTCACCGAAGTGCCGGAGCCCCAGGCGACGGAGACCTGCGCGAGCGGCTGGTTCTTATGCGGCTCCGAGGGCGGTCCTGTTCCTGGCTGCTGCCCGAGCGGGTATGAGTGTGGCACCGCGAGCTGCTCGAGTATCTCGCCGACACGCACTGGCGAGATCCAGAAGCATTTTCCCAACTCGGGGGTTGCAAGAGCTGGGGTGTCGTTGGCTGCCATGGCCATCTCTCTTATGGTTGCGTTATTTTGATTTCACAGCATCATTGCATTGGGCGGCGTTTATAGACTGGAATTTTCAGAGGCACTGAATATGGATTCCATTTGAAATTCGGGAGAAGCGAGGAAATGAGAACAAGATGCCTAGGGGAACGTATACGAGGGACGTTTAATGGCATTGGTCACAATGAATACGAGAGGATTCCTCGAGGTTTGAGCCTAGGGAACATATTCCGGCACACACACTCAAGTGAGCACATAGTGAAGAACGTGATCCCGTTGTAACTTGTTCAACAGACTCTTGAATTTGCCACACAATGTTAACCTTGGCGTGTGATCTCCATGTTGCACGAATCAACGAGTTATGTTGCTGATCAGCTACTTCCGCTAAACATTACTCCCAAGGTTCAAGATGAAAGATATAGATGACAGGGAACCTTGGTTGAAAAGGGAAAAAAAGGAGCTTCCCTGCCGTCCGAGACAAGGACATGCAGTGAGTGACGAGAGAATATATGAAAATTGGGATGTCAATGATTGGATCTATCTGTACCTCCAGGGCCTCCAGACTAGCTACTGTATGTTACTCGCTTTTCTTCTCAGAAAAATCCGAAAAAAGAAATTTCCAAATCCGGATGATATCCCCATGCGGTACTCATGAGAGTGACGGAGGACTCAAACTAAAACTCCTTTGCGCCGTGTAAAAGTGTGTTCCGCCCCAAGACGAGGCTCTATAGAGACTGTTCCCCGCCCATGATGATGCGATTGGTGACCGACTTGGTATTAAAGTAAAATGTATGATGCAAAGACTCGGGCCTATTCTCTTTTCACGGGCCTAGTGATGTGTGGGGGTATGTATGAATTTGCCAAGGAATGATCGTGTTGTCGGACACCTTCGGTACCTCTCGCCTGGAGAGGGGGGTGGTGTAGGTAGACCGCGTCGAGCAAGGGGAAAAACCAAAACATTGTTTAGATGAAGTAGGCAGCGACGATGCCTGCAACGACGAGAGAGCCGACAGAGTTATGGACTGCCGCGGCGGTGGGAACGGAGGTCGGGTTGGTGATTGTACCCGATGGCGGGATCGGGGTCCGCGTGCCTGACGGGCTGCTGCCGGACGTGGCGGTAGTAGGACGACCGGAGCTACCGCCACCACCGTTGCCGCCGCCACCACCACCACCGCGGCTCGTCGGAGCGGTACCGTTGCCAGAAGGAGCAGGTCCACCGCCAGTACCGCCGCCGCCTCCGGTCCCAGTAGGCCTAGACGGGCCAGCAGTACTCGTCATCGTAGCGTTACTAGACGACCGAGGCGGCGGACCGATTGGGTAGGTAGGTCTCGGGACATATCCCGTTCCGGTCCCCGTGCCGGAGGCGTATGGGGTGCAGACGCTGGGCGGGAGCTGAAAGGGGCTGGGGGAGGCGTAGACAACGCAGTTCTTCTCGCAAGCGGCGTCGCCCGAGTAGGGCTGGGACATCCAGCACAGGGAAGGGTTGACACCCAAGGGAAACTGGCCGGCGAGGTTGTTTGTGCAGCGGCCCGGTTGGCCGCGGCCGTTTGCGTCGCAGCGGATGATGATGTCTGTGCCGAAGGAGTCGCCCGCGCAGAAGGCGGAGTTTGGGCGGGAGCAGATGTATTGGCCTGTTGTTGCATTGCTGTGGCGGTGGTGTTAGTGAGAGGGAGGGCAAGGGAGAGGGAGGGGGTTTGGCTTACTATGTGACTTGGGCTGAGGCCAGCGCCGAAGCGGCGAGGACGAGGGTAGCTGATGTCTTCATGTTGATGCGCTTCTAGCTGAATCTTATCATAGACGTGAAGATGGCCGAGGTGTGAAGGATGGAGGCGACGGAGGATAGACGAAGCCTTTGTGTACGTGCAGGTTTGAAGCTCACACAAAACGAGGGGATGTGATTTCTTTATGCTGAGGTGTGTGAGATATGAGATGCTGATAATGAGAGAAACGGAAGGGATGAGAGGTGGAATTATCCGCGATCCATATATAGATGGGCTACGTGGAAGCAACGCTACTAAGTGAAGGGGGGGAAACATATGTGAGAAGCCATCTTCAGGCACGGAAAAGGAAGAGAGTCAAGATGGCTGGGATCGGCTTCCGGAGCCTAAAACGTTAGCGCATGCGAAAAGCCAAGTAACGTCAAGCTATCTCTTCATTGTAGAAAACGACGGCGGCGGATCCGCTGGGTTCGAAAGAGAAAAGCGAAGACGAGAGAAAAGCCGGCGGCGGCGCTGAGACAAACGTCAACTGAGGTGTGTGTGTGTGATGGCGAAGCTGAGCTGGGGGGCTGGCTGGCTGGCTGACTGACTGACTGGTAGCGGCGCGTTGGTGGTGTGTTTCTGGCGGGTCTGCCGATTGGCGAATCGGGTTGCCGTCGGCGTCTTTTCTTGGAAGGTTAAGTTCTTTCTAGTTCGTCTCCAAAAGGCAATGAGACTTGGTTGCCTCTGAATCCGAATCTGAATCTGCCCTCGCAGTCTGGGCGGGTTTCCGCGATACTGCGTCTACCTCTGCAACCAGAATCCCGGAACGACCGGGGTGAGTAAGTTTGTCGCGGCATGCAGAGAGGGAGCAAATGGAGAGGAATGGGATAGGCATGGGATGGCAGGTCAAAGGGAACTAACCCCCTCGTGCCAGCTCCCTGGAGTCCCTACTATCGGCCGCGTGTTGCTTGTAGAAGGAAGCAGAGGCATTTTCGATAGAGCAGAGTTGCATCACTGACATCACGAGCGAAGCTTCCAACCCCTCCTTGCAGCACATTCCTTCATGGGATGAACCTGCAATCTGCATCTTGCTCACCATACTTCCCATCTTGGATATGATACAGATTTTAACAGATTTTAGATCAACAAGACCTGGGATTTGGTTCTGCCTCAAGGTGAAATTCGAACGTCAAACAATTACCGTATTTTCTTCTCGCGAAGCTGACCATACGGACACAGCTCATATCAAGCCACCGGCAATCGCGTGCAGAGGTGCAAGCTTGACACGAGATTCTTCCAAAGTATGACCACTTCTTTAACGAAGACTGAGACAACTGACACGAATGCAAACCTGAAAGTGGCCGGGGAGGGAGGGGGTGCCGCTCGCGCACATTCCAACACCCGAGAACGGTTGCGAAGGGGGTGTTGGTGGATCGAAAGACATACACGTGCAACCGTCAAGCCACGCCATTATCGCCGCCAGCTCTTCTTCGTACTCTGATCGCGCGGGAAGACCAAAAAAAGAAAAAGAAAAAGAAAAAGAAAAAGGGGGACAGGAGATTGTGTGCATGAGCGATTCTCACCTGTCATTCAGTTTGAACCTTTTGCGGACGAACGGCCGCTTGCCCAGCCATAGTTTGCTTCGTGCTACACTTGCTCAGTGCGCCGAAATCCATTTCCGATCTAAACCATCTGAGCAACCTTATTCGGTAAAGCTGAGAGCTTCTTCGTACGACAATCCGACCAAGGCCCAACCAATCTAGCAAGAAAAAGAAGAAGAGAACACCGCCTCGTGGCTTCAGCTCAACGAAATCCGATTCCGTGGCGGCCGTATCCAGAAGAGCTGACGGGCGGGATGGCTTATACACGCCCTGAATATCGAGAACAGCCAGCGCTCGTCCATGACAAAATCTCGTCATCGATTCTTTCTAAACTCGTTTCGCAAGAACGGGAAACCTGACTAATAAAGTGCCCATTAGGAAATGCATCCTCTACCCGTGGAATTATTGGTTGCGCAAACTTCAAAGTATCCGTGAAGCAACGCAGTCTAGCAGCAGTTGGCGTACCAGCCCACTGGAATGCGCCCCCGGCCATCTTCATCGCTAGCAGCTCGCGCGTGCCGCCCTACGCACTACCTATCCGTACAGCCCAGGTTAGCCCTACGACGAAAATAGAAACACTTAAAGTCCCTGTCGCGATTATGGAGGCCGCCCCGCTGCTCCCGAAAGGTGCGGGTCTGTGCTTCTTCTCCCAAGTCTTGACGCAGTAAACTTGTGCGGAAGCTCTGGATAAGGCAGAATATGAACATTCCGGTACAGCAGCACGACGCGTCGCGTTCGGAACGCGGTGGCCTGAAATTCCAGCTGCGGGCTTGCTATCGAGGCGAGGGGTAAAGTAAGAACCGTGGAAATATTGGGTTCCATCAGCTGATGCGGCAAAGTTGTGTCAATCGATGAAAGCATGTGTCGTTTCTGCTGTTGAGATTTAGGTAGGCCAAGTTCACTTGGATGCTCGTGACTCTTTCTTGAGCACGTATTGCTGCAATGTACTATCTATACCTTCGATGTGGACTTGGCTGTCTATTAGGATGGTCTGGAGCCATGCAGATGGGTTCAGATACTCTTCAGATTGAGAAATCATTCATTCATTGACTACATCCAACGCACACCTATGAACCGCAACATCCACCAACTTTTGCAGTCATAACTCCAACCTCCGACGACGCCTGTACCTTCCAGAGGACCACATCCCACCATGATTGTTCCTCAATCCCCGCCTTTCCTTTGGGAGAGAGCTGTCTTTTTTCTTCCTCGTCATCATGCTGCAATGCTTCTCCCTCAAAGCTCCTCGTAGACCTCGGTCTGGTTTACCATGGCGCTGAGGGGGCCGCGCTTGACCATAATACTCATGATCTCATAGAGCGCATCAGCGGCGGCCATGGTAGTATGCTCGGCGTTCGTATCGTAAGCAGGCTATTGCACATGAATTAGTCTTCTGTTACATTGTCCCCAGTAGCAATAGCATTCACGAAGGAAACTTACAGCAACCTCCACGATATCAGCAGCAATCAGGTTGAGGTCCTCCAACCCACGAAGGATGGTGCGAAGCTCGCGAGTGGACCAGCCACCCGTCTCAGGGGTGCCGGTAGCGGGAGCGACTACGCGTCACGGTTAGCTAATATTCTTTAAACGTTTCACACATTCGATCACTTACAGGCAGGGTCAAGAGTGTCGATATCCAGAGAAAGGTAGACGGGGTTCTTTGTGCCGACGCGGTCAATAATCTTCTTAATGATGCCATCCGTGCCGATCTTGTCAATTTCGCGAGCCTCCACGATCTCGAAGCCGCAGTATCCATCGTTCTCGTAGTCACTAGGGCCGCTGAGCGTCGTGCGGATACCAGCGTGGATGTTGGAGTCGTTGCGCAGCAGACCTTCCTGAGCGGCATGGTAGAAGTAGGTGCCGTGGTTGATGCTGGCAACTTCCGAAGGAGAACCGCCAAAGACCTTGGGGCGCCCTGCAAGATGTAAGTCTCCCTACTTGCGCCTTTGGGGATCAGTTGACTTACAGGTGTCAAGATGACTATCAAAGTGAATGACAGACACGGGACCGTAGGCACGGTTGATAGAGCGCAGCAGGGGTAGGGTGATGGTGTGGTCACCACCCAGGGTGATGACACGAGGCAGGGTGCGCTCGTTCTTCGCAGGTCCCTTCTTCGCCGCATCTGTGGCAGGCTGGCGCGAGAGGATTTCAAAGTGCCCCTCTTCGATCTGGTGCAGAGCCCACGTATTGTCGTATCTTGCCTTGAGTTAGCAAGCGGATGAGCAAGGTACGTGGTGGCTTCTCACGATGTGACGGGAATGTCTCCGCAGTCCAGGACAGTAGCCCAACTGCTGAACGGGTTTGTGGCCAATGGCACATTGTAACCTCCGCTGTCCGGTGTAAGTATCCTTCCTCGCGCGGAACCAGCATCCCGGAGTAGACATAGACTTACTAGAGGTTCAGACGGCGCGAGCCCTGACGAATTCCTGACGGGCCAAAACGGGCACCGGGGCGGTATGAAGTACCAGTATCAAAGGGGGCTCCTGCGTGGTGTAAGTGTCATTCACGGTTGACTGCTCTCCGCCCTTACTCACCGATGAATGCAATGTCATACTTGACGTTCTTTGCGCCGAGGCATGGCTGGTACGGCAGGCGACCAAACGTGGAAATGCCCGAGAATACAGAGTCGGCCTATAATGTGTAAGACAACGCTCGAGGGCCGGGTCAATGGCGTTTCTAAATACCTGAGTACCGCCGTCACCTGGGATCGTGTTGTACCAAAGGGACTGATGAGGCCCGGACATGGACTTTTGGTGGTCATCGTGGTCTCCGTGACCATAAACGGCCGCCGCAAGGCAGAGTGCGAGGATGCTTCGAGAGACCATGGTGCTGACAGTTGACGGTATGGTGAATTCAAGTTGCAGCTATTGCTCGGGACAGATTTAGAAGGTCATGAAGGGGAATGGCCTTGACTTTATGAATCTCGGCGAGCTGCAAGGTCCCGTTCTATGTCAGAAGCAGATTGGCCAAAGTTCGACAGCTCTTCTCCACGCATGAGGTTTTATGGTGGGCATCAGGTATGGCCCCAGGACCGGCTCGCAAGCTTATCGTCGACGTATTAGCCACACCACAGGAGCTCCCTGAGACGCTTACTGGTCAATGGATAACCATCAGACGCAGTGTCGGTCAAAACGATTAACGCGTTGGCGTTAGGTAAAGACCAGGGCCGCGGCAGACCGTTGTTGGCAGTGCGGGGCAAGAGATAAAGCTCCCTCCGCCCTTCTCCAATGTCATGATGCTTGCAAGATCAGCGAAGATGCTTGGTTCGAGCATCGATTGGCTTCGAGTTTTGGAGTACCCGGCCACCGCACTCCAGACGAAGAACCCTCAGATCAAGCGGTGCTGCATGTAGTGACAGGGTTCTGCCTACTACCCAGGCAACAAGACGCCGTCGGCGAAGCCATTGCCGTGGGGAGAACGGTCCAAGTGTCTGTTCCTAGGATGCTAGGTCCAAGGATGGACGG